CACCGTAGGATCCATGGGGTTGGGAGACCGTGGTGGGCACCGTAGGATCCATGGTAGAGCATGATAAGCGCTATGGGGCTGGGAGACTGTGGTGGACACCGTAGGATCCATGGGGTTGGGAGACCGTGGTGGACACCAGAGCTGGGTGACCATGGTTGGCTTCACTGAATTCGGAGATCATGATAGACTCCATGGGGTTGGGGCTGTGGTGGACATCATGGGGTTGGGAGATTGTGATGGACACCGTGGGGCAGAGAGCTGGGGCCATGGTAGCTACCATGGGGTGAGGTAACCATGATGCACAGAGTAGGTTTGGGAGACCATGATGGGCGCCATGGGACTGAGGTGGGGCTAGGGTGAATTCCATGGGGTTGGGATATCATGGTGGACACCATGGGGCAGAGGTTTGGGTCCCTGGTGAGCTCCATGGGGTTGGGAGACCATGATGGGCGCCATGGGGCAGACATTTGGGGCCATGGTGGACAGTGTGGATCTGTGAGACCATGATGGACACTATAGGGCAGAGAACTGGGGCCGTGGTGGGCACCATGGGGTTAGGAGACCATGATGGGCGCCATGGGGCAGAGAGCTGGGGCCGTGGTGGGCACCATGGGGTTGGGAGACCATGATGGACACCATGGGGCAGAGAGCTGGGGCCGTGGTGGACACCATGGGGTCAGGAGACCATGATGGGTGCCATGGGGTAGAGAGCTGGGGCCGTGGTGGGCACCATGGGGTTGGGAGACCATGATGGGCACCATGGGGCAGAGAACTGGGGCCGTGGTGGCCACCATGGGCTTGGGAGACCATGACGGTCACCGTGGGGTTGGCACCCGCCCGCGATGGGATGCCGTGGTTCTTACACCTCCTCTCTGCCCCACGGCGTCAGGCCACGGAGGAGCCCCCGGCCACCGCGGAGAACCTCCGGCCCTTCAACCTCGTCATCCCCTTCACCGTCCAGAAGGGTGAGATCACAGGTATGGGGTGGGGTGGGGGCAGTGGTGGTGGGGACAGCACGGAGCAGGTTGTGGGGCGCAGTGGGGCACCGGCCGACCTGTGACGTGGTGACCCCCAGGAGAGGTGAGGATGCCCTCGGGGAAGACGGCGCGACCCAACATCACCGACAACAAGGACGGGACGGTGACGGTGCGTTACGCCCCCACTGAGAAGGGGCTCCACGAGATGGACATCCGCTACGACGGCAACCACATCCCCGGTGAGACCTCTGGGAGCTTACTGGGAGCTACTGGGAGGCGGCTGAGGGAGGTTGATGTCTCCTTCGCCCCGGTTGGGCAGCCGTGGGTTGAGCGGCCAACGGCGGTAGGGGGTTGTCCCCGTTGAGGTGGGGTGGGTGGTCTTTGACCGTCGGTCCCCTCGTTGTCCCCAGGGAGTCCCCTCCAGTTCTACGTGGACGCCATCAACCCGCGACACGTCAGCGCCTACGGGCCGGGGCTGAGCCACGGCATGGTCAACAAGCCGTGCACCTTCACCATCGTCACCAAGGACGCCGGGGAAGGTGAGCGGTGGCCAAAAGGGCCACCAGAAGGGTTGGGAGGGTCACCGAGACCTTCCCAGTGCCATCGGGAGAAAGGGTTGGAGACCCCCTCCGACGTTCACCCTGTGGCCCTCCCTCCCCGTCCCCCCCCCAGGTGGGCTCTCGTTGGCGGTGGAGGGTCCCTCCAAGGCGGAGATCACCTGCCAGGACAACAAAGACGGGACCTGCACGGTGTCCTACCTGCCCACCGCCCCCGGGGACTACAACATCATCGTCCGCTTCGATGACAAGCACATCCCGGGCAGCCCCTTCACCGCCAAGATCACCGGTGAGACGGGACCCCAGTCATCTTGGGGATGTCACCGAGGTCCTCCGGACCTCCAGGTGGTCGTGGAGACCCCATATGGTCACCTCGGGACCTCCATATGGTGATGGAGACCCCATAAGGTCACCTCGAGACCTCCATATGGTCGTGGGGACCCCATGTGGTCACCTTGGGACCTCCATATGGTGATGGAGACTCCATATAGTCACCTCGGGACCTCGATATGGTCGTGGGGATCCCATATGGTCACCTCGGGACCTCCATATGGTCGTGGGGATCCCATGTGGTCACCTTGAGACCTCCATATGGTCGTGGGGACCCCATAAGGTCACCTCGGGACTTTCATACGGTCGTGGGGACCCCATATGGTCACCTCAGGACCTCCATATGGTCATGGGGATCCCATGTGGTCACCTCGAGACCTCCATATGGTCATGGAGACCCCATATGGTCACCTCGGGACCTCCATATGGTCGTGGGGATCCCATGTGGTCATCTCGAGACCTCCATATGGTCATGGAGACCCCATATGGTCACCTCGGGACCTCCATATGGTCGTGGGGACCCCATGTGGTCACCTCGGGACCTCCATATGGTCGTGGGGACCCCATATGGTCATGGGGACCTTGCGTGGTCATGGTCATGGTCACGGAGATACCTGCATGGCCACTGGGAACCCATCACACAGCCGTGATGTCCTTGGCCATCCTTGGCCACCAAGACGCCATCACATGGTCCATGGGGACCTTGTGGGGCTTTGAGGACCACATTACACAGCTATGGGGACACCATGACGTGGCCATGGGGACCCTGTCCAGCCTCAGCCATGGGGACCTTGTCCATATGGTGGTGGGGCCACCTTCATGGCCACCAGGAAGCCATCACACAGCCGTGGTGTCCCTGGCCATCCCTGGCCACTGAGACCCCATCATTTGGCCGTGGGGACCTTGGGGGGGTCTTGGGGACACCATCACACGGCTATGGGGACCCCGTCCAACCCCAACCACGGGGATCCCCTTCACGCAGCCATTGGGACCTTGACCATGGGGCCACACGGCCACGGGCCCCCCCATCCATTCCCAACCTCCAAGATTCCATCAGGTGGCCTTGACCTTGACGGGATGGTGGCCTGCGTGGCCACCAGGACCTCATCACGTGGCCCAGGGCACCTCGTGGGGAACCTATCCCACGGCCTTGAGAACCTTCTTCACTCATCTATGGAGACCCCATCCATCCCAGAGTGTGGGGACCTTGTCCCCATGGCCACCGTG